AGGGTGCAATATTTAATTTAGTTATTGAACCCAGTTTTCCAAAAAACAATAATTTACTTGTTACTAGTAATGAGGCATCAACTTCCTTAACAGCGATTAATTCAGTTTTAACAAATACTGTTATTGCAAATGAAAAAGAATCATATAAAGAATTGATACACTCTTCATCATCGTCAATTTCATCTTTTGATGAAGATATTGGAGATAATGAAACATAACTTATTTCAATGATGATATTGATCAGTTAGCATTATTTAGTTCTTTAATTGCTCAGTGGCCAGTTTCATTTAACATTTCTCAAAATGCTCTTAATGAATTATTAAAATTATTAAAACGACATAATTGTTTTGAATCATTACCTATTGATTCATGAACCATTTTAAAAACAAACAAGTTAACTACTTCAAATTTACGTGTTGTGGAACCAGGAAAATACCATCATTTTGGTATTCTGAATGGAATTAATCAAAATATTGTTGATTGTTTTAATGATAATGAAGTGATTCAGATTGTTGTTGGAATTGATGGTTTACCAATTTATAATACCAACTCATAATAATTATGTTTTGAAAACTCAAGAGGAATATCATACTGGAAATATCTCTATTTTATCTACTTTTCCCAATTTTAATATAACAACCTGGTTCTGTTTGGATTACATGCACTTAGTATGTCTAGGAACTGTTCGTAAACTTATATTATTATGGATGAATGCAGTGGCGTAGCTAGGATTTTCTGAAAGGGGGTGTTAATTATAATTATTAAATATTATATATAATACGTACAAACTAAAACTTATTTTAATTAATTAATATGTATACATAATGTCTGTATAGAGATGTAATGTATATTCGAATTCGGATAGCTTTATCATAAATTATTCGAATATTTGACTATTCGAATATCAGTATTCGATGCTACAATACCTATTATTATTAAACGTTTTGTGTTGCACGAAAACGTAAACGAATAATTTTCGTCACGTATTGTCACAATCGCGATAATGTTAACCTGTATATATGTAATTAGTATTGTGCATTATTTTATATTTCATATTGTATTATCGATTTACCTATATTCCTATAATAATGTAATATATGATACGACTCAAGGGGGGTGTCATATCTACCAAACACCCCCCCCCCCTTGTATACGCCACTGAACGAACTAAAACTAACTAACTGGACCCAATACAATTCGCTATCCATCTTGGAAAATTAAAAAAATCTCCAGTTATATTCATAATATAAAAAACAAAATGCACTCTGAGTTTGCAAGTAACCTTATAAACCTAGATGAAGTAAATAGATGGAAAGCAACAGAATTTCGTATGTTTTTACTATATTATGGCATTATAGTCACTAAACCATCATTGAAAGATCAACACTGGAATCATTTTTTTAATTTAAGCATATCTATGATTATTTTATTAAGTCCTGATCGTTCGAAATACATAAATATTGCACGTCAATTATTAGACATTTTTGTGAAAGATTTAGAGATTATGGTTGTTACCTCATTTCTCACAATATTCATGGTCTAACTCATTTATGTGATGATTATGATACATTTGGTCCACTAGATAATTGCTCAGCATTCCCCTTTGAAAACTACATGGGTTGCTTAAAGAGAATGTTAAGGAAATCACATAAGCCTTTGGAACAAATTATCAAAAGATATAATGAAATTTGTTCACTTAAATCCAACACTAAAATTATAAATCGTGCACCTTATTTTTCTGGTCTTCATAACCATGGTCCTATAATGTCAAGTTCAATAAAAGGAAAACAGTTTACCACTTTGATATTAAAAAATATGACTATTAAAACACATATGGAAAGAGTACTTTCCAGATACTTATACTCATACTTTTTAACGCAAGACAAAAAAATAGTTAAAATTTTGAACATAATTATGAACGAAAATTCAGATGTGATCCTTATTTGTAAAATATTTGACCAAAAATATGAGTTATTTATGAAACCTATAAAATCTAGTGAATTAGATATTTATGTTGTAAAAAATTTATCTGAAAATTTTCATACGTTTAATATAAAAGATATTGAAAAAAAAATGATTCTTTTACCATCTAGTAATAATATCTTGATTGTATTACCTATTATCCATTCAACTTTAAATATTTAGTATTCTTGTAAAAAGTTTTTTGTTTAACCTCATAATTTTACTGTATAAAATTATTTTCTATTTTTTAATTATTTTTAATGCCAATTATTATTAAGGCCCCTGCAAATGTGTCATTTTTAAGGAGTTGTGTTTAGGCAATTATTTCGTTCCTTCAATCACTGATCGTCTTTGTGTGTGTAGTAAATGATAATTAGTGTGCGTATACTCCCCTACCATCACCCGCGACCCGCATCAATTTACAATTCATTGTTATTTCTTATCTGGTTTATGGACGGTCGCGGCCTCGCGGGTCGGACATAATAACAGTACGTAAATATCATGAAAATAAATAATGTACATTCAATTTGAGATGTGTATATTATATTATAATATTATACATAAAAAAGTACTTTACACAATTTATATTACCCATATTTAGTAATAATGGTACCTAACTAGTATAATATTATATAATTAATAATAATAACAAAAAAACATAGATGGATAAGGTAGGTACTTAAATTATTTCATTTTATTTGAAAATAATTTTACATAAAACAAAACATATTGTTACTTGTCAGGAGAAAAACAATATCAGTTTTTTTATGGGTAGCTAATTTAAAAATATTATAATATGGCTTACCAAATGACTTCGATCAGGATCACTCTTATTCAATGATTGAATATATAATTTAATGACTAAACAAAAACATATGTGCTTGGCCTAAAAAAAATTCAAAAAAATTTATTCAGAAAAAGACCAAACCTAATGAAATTGAGTTTGATTTTTTGAAGGCTCGTAAATTGCGAAAAGACAGGTGTGTTCTATATCTAACATAATATATAGCTAAATATAATTTAAATTATTCATTATATGATCAGTATTTTTTGTAGTTTAGAAGATTATAATATATTTATTTAACTAATTTAAAATATTCAGAAAAAAATAATATTTATTTTTATTTAGATAGTTATGCAATAGCTAGAGAAAAAGGTCAAAAGGCAGAGTATACATCTGATCTATCGACAACACCATCCAAAAACAATGCATATACTAAAGGAAATCTATATTAAAAACTAAAAAAAAAAGATAAATGTCAACAAAAAGAAAATGGTGTTTTATGGAGTCCATCTTCAAGTGATTGTATTGGTTGGTTAATTTATGTTATTGCTAAATTTAAGAAATGTCATTGTTTTCCAGTTTTATTATAAATGTATATATACATTTTTTAGTGGATGATAATTATACCTTCCAAGATTCAAATTTAAATCCTATTGCAGAAAGTATATTCTAGTATTGTCGAATGAGTTGTAATTGATAAAGTAAGCGATATTAGTTATTAACTAATATATAATTATTAATAAAATAATAAATGAACAGTATAGTACTGAATAGTAATAATAAAAAAATTGAATAAAATACTAAAAAATTTAGTTTTTCTTTTTTTTCTATTTTAAATGAAAAAAATTGTAACCAAGTTCATATTAAAATAATATGTATTTTATAGTATTATAATGTATGATGTATACTTCATATTTAAAAATATAATTTAATTATTGTTACTTTTTCTAAAAAAAAAATATTTGATAAGTATATAAAAATGTGAACCCTGCAATTGTAAGAAAGAAAATCATTAACACTATATTTTATATAGTATTAAAAATAAATGCATTGTTTTAAAAATTGTTTTCAATAGGTACTGCAAAGTATCCTGCTATAGAACTATTCCCCGCAAGATCATCTGTATCTAACAATTGTCTAAGTCCTGTTGATGCAGAAAAAAAAAAAAATTTCAGTACAACAAGTGATTTGTTGAATCTAATTTCTATACCTGATAAGACAATAGAAGTAACTGGTAATGTATACATTAATAATTGTATTAATATTTGAATAAAATATCTATAATATATATACATCTATAATATAATGCAATAATTAATTTCATCAAACTCATGTATTTTTAATTAAATTTATTGTTAATAGATCTGGATGGGATAGCACATTTGATCGAAGAATCTTTCATTGGTGTAGTCAACACATCGACATCACCATTTAAGGTTTTTTATGTATCTAATATAGATACACAGCAGTCAGTATCCATTTCAAATAAATCACAAATATCCGCACACAATGGAATACTTGGTGAGTAATATATAAATTTAATTTAAATATATTAAATTTATAAAATGTATTAATATAGTTAATTTTAATGTCTATAGAATTACTTCAAAAAATGAATTGAACAATATGTAACATCAAATATGATATCAATTCATTAAATGAGAAGGTTGATAAAATATATGATATAATATTGGAATCAAGTCGATTTGAACATTAATTGATGGAAAAAAGTACTGATAATAAATTCCAAATGGAACTATCAAATCTTTCATTGGAAACGGTGGATGAACTGAACGAATTTGAAAAAAAACTTACAACTAATAAAGAATTCAGAATGAAACTAGTAAAAATAAAATTCTGAATAAGCTATATTCTTATATTAATAATACTTATATAGATTTTAACTACTGAATAACTTATTGTCTACAGGTTTCAGAGCTCAAACGTTTTTCATGTAGCACATTGCTCTGTACTGAATGTATACTAATGAGACAACTGTTTAAAGATGTATTACTTGAAAAGTTTAGCTACAAAGGATTGAAAAAAAAAGTGTATAAAATAGGAGTTTCAATATCCACAGCATCACATAAATTAAACTTTTTAATTTCTTTTATAGCATCTGAAAATAATTAAAGTCAATTGAAATGGATAATATACTATACTTTATATATATATATATATATATATATATATACTAATTATAGTATATTGTATCACCATAACATGTTGTTTATTTTTTCATTATATTGTGCTTATTTGCTATAAAGAAAGTTGTATTTATTTTATAATTAACACATTATTATCAAATAAAAAATTAAAAGAAACATACCTCATGGTGATATGGTAATATATATTGGTGTAGAAATATTTTTTGATAAATATTAAGTTAATTGATTCACTTATTTGACCTGATAGTGGCACAGTGGATTTATTTACACTGAGGAAGTCATAGAAATACATATTTTGACAGGTGAACATAGAACAATAAGTTATATTTATAATTATCCCAATACCTATTTTTTATTGAGTTAGTTTGAAATATTCATTTGTACCTATTTATTTAAAAAATTTAAGTACAGAAATGAAGGGAAGTATTTCAAGATCGTGAAAATGGAGAGATATTCTGATGGCTGCCATAAATCTTAGAGAGTATTAAATGCCAGAGAAAGAAGAAGATGAAGTTTATTCTGTGTAAAGAATTATGTACTCGCCATACTGATAATGTTAGTTATCCAAAAATAAAAATTTTCCAATCAGACACTGGTTCTTCAATACTTCTATAAAGTCATTAGTTGTATATGGTTGATACATATTACCTAATTTAACTAAAAAATCTGAATTTAGAAATTCATTTGATTTGGGATCACTTGCATGAATATAATTCAATACTTCATCGTTCACATTATCTTAAAAATGGAAAAATGGTCTTCATGGACACACGTACTACTACCAGAACGAGGACAACTTTCTGTACATCCTATTACTGTTTGGTATATAAGTTAGAAGACATAAGGACTTCTTCACTTGTATTCCGACTCACATATTGTGCAAGTCATTGGCAAGTCCTTAGTCTTCATTTACTCTCTATGTTAAAATATATGTATGTACTGTAATTGTGTAAATTAAATAACTTTAATTATACATCTGGACTCTTATTTAATCAACCTTTAAACGACCATCTCCGCATATGTGTTGACAAGTAACCTGGTTCACAACACATGATCAACCTCCTGTACAACTAAACATTGTTTTTCCTTACAAATCTATGGGTAAAAATAAACGGTCCTTTAATAGTACTTGGTATAAATAGTATCCATGGATTGAGTACTTAATACAATTTGATCAACATTTTTGTTATTATTATAAACATTCTTTACTACCAAGTCAACATTGTAATCCTAATACTGTCAATTTAACAATCCATGGTCATTCAGACTGGAAATATATAGGCAGTATGGCTAAAATACATGGTAAATGTGACACACACAAACTAGCAATGGCTAAATATAAAGGGTGGTGTGATTTTAAAATACAAAACAGTGTTACGACTATGATTGACTCACAAATAAAAGTTGAATTTGCTAAAAATTGAACAATATTAAGAAGTTTAATAAGGTGTGCTATATATTGTGCTAGACAAGTTGTTGGTTTGTGAAGACATTCTGAAACAACTAAAATCTCTAAAATTGTGAATAATAATATTGCAACAGAAAATAAAGGAAATTTTTTAGAGCTTGTAAAGCTGTTATGTGTCGAAAATTAAACATTTTGTTCAGCTTATGAAGCATTACCAAAAAATGCAAAATATATTAGTAAAATAATTCAAAATGATATAAGAAGTGCAGTTTCCAAAGTGATTGCTTAATTTATTTTAAAAGAAGTACAATATCACATAATATATTTATAATTTTTACAGTCTATTCAAATTTTAAATCAAAATGTGTAAAAATAAATGTGAAAATTATTTTAGTCAAATAACAAAATGTGTAAAATATATTTAGTGTACATTTTTACATGGTAACTAAAAAAAGGTTACCGTTGGACTGTCGGTCAAATATTTTGAATCTCCCTGTAAAAAATGAACTCAGAACATACAAATACATACTACTTACTTTACACTAGTATTAACAGCATTAAAAGAGTGTACTGAAAGTTCAAAATCTAAGGAAGCAGCTAAATCTAAAACTTTACTAAATCGAATGAATTCTTTAAAAACTGTTGTGTTACTTTTCTGTTTGGATTATATTTTATTTTTAGTAAATATTCTATCATTAAACTTACAACACTTGACTATAACTATTGTGCAAAATTGATTAAATCCATTACGGAACAATTGATTAATTTAAGGTCAGAAAAAATATTCATCAATATTTACAATGAAGCTGTAAGTGTATTTTAGACTTCGAATATTGAACCTAATAATACACTATGTTCGACAAGAGATCAAAGAATTTCATCAACACTGGATAACTGTTTAACTTATTCAACACTTGGTGCTAGTACTAATAGAAAAGAATCACGAAACATATCCTCTAAAGAAACTGAAAATGAATTTAAAAGTCTTTTTCCATTTTTAAGATAATATGAACAATGAAATATTGAATTATATCCATGCAAGTGATCCCAAATCAAATGAATTTCTAAATTTAGATTTGTTAGTTAAATTAAGTAATATGTATCAACCATATACAACTAATTACTTTATAGAAGTATTGAAGAACCAGTGTCTGATTGGAAAATCTTTATTCTTGGATAACTTAACATTATCAGTACGGCGAGTACATAATTTTTTACGCAGAATAAACTTCTTCTTCTTCTTCTCTCTCTGGCATTTAATACTCTCTAAGAGTTTTGGCCGCCATCAGAATATCTCTCCATTTTTCACGGTTCTGAAATACTTTCCTCCATTTCTGTACTCCCAATCTTCCAGATCTTCTACAACATCGATCTTTATTTTTGTTACACTGTTTGTTATTTTTCTTATGGTAAATTAATAAAAACAGTAATTTTTATAAGTGTTAAAGTACAAGTGTTTAATTATTTAAAATACCTATCTCTTTCACAATCACGTCTCAAGATAACAACGAACGTGTGACGTCGTTAAATAATTAATGTGGCACCGATCGTAGTATCCTGCACAACGATCACTACAATATTTTTGTGATGCCGAGAAAAACCCAATTTGTGTCTAAAATCATGTTTCAATACTTTTCTTCAATAATAAATATTTAGTACAAGTAATTTATAAGTAGATTAGGTTAGTATTAAGTATAAAATGTCAATAGTATTTAAGATTTTTATTAGAAGTAAAAATGTGATTATAAAATTGTTGATAAGTTGTACACAATTGTTTTATAACTAATATTGTAATACAGTATTAAAGTACTTGAATGATGATTATTTTTACATACATATTTATTCAATGACGCCTGATGGTATCAAACAGCGTCTAAATAAAAAATTATTCAGTGACGATGATGATGCCAATAGGCGTCATAAAGAAAAAAACACGTACATTTGAATAGCACAAGGAATGCATATATAAAAATCAAGCCGCAGCGAACGTGTTAATTGTATTTATCAGTTGATGATTGATAAGAAAAAGAAATCTTAAGCCAACAATCTAAAAACACATAGTTTGTATAATATTTATATTATTTATAATTGTATTATTTAATACACAAAAATCTTATACTATAGTAACTTTTCTTAAAATCAAATTTTTGTAAAAATAATTATTAGTTAAAAACTTAAATATATATTACTTGTTTTTCGAAGTAAGATGTCACTCGAGAACAGGATCTGGCCTTTCAGCCAATAAATGCTCATCATCAAGTAAATATTCATAATCTGCAAATAAAGAGATATGCTCTGGAGTCATTGTGGTAACAAAAAAAAAGTTATTTAAAATAATATTTATTATAAAAAAGTTTTAATATAAACTATTTTCTTAAAATTTTAAAAAAACTTATAGAAAAAACAAATAGTGATGTTATATAAATAGTACCCGAAATGTTTCTTCTAAAAATTATATCACAAACATTATACTTTATTTAATTTTAAATCAATTACAGCTGAAAATAAAAATTTTTAATGATTTAAAAAAAAAACATCAATTATAATTAATATAATACTGTAAAAACTATTTCTTAAAATTTGAAATATGCATTTTTATGAATTAAAAATATTTAAAATGCTAATTCTTGAAAAAAAGAAAATTATCATGGAAACTTAAGAATTTTGAAAAAAATGTATAATATAACAATTTAATCTCTAATTATGGCTTATATCCAATTTACAATAAATGCTTTAACATGATGGGGTCACCAACCATTTTTTTTTTTTTTTAGAGTCGCCAATATATAAAATAACTAATTAGGTGTTTTTATAAATTTCATCATTATAATCATTGTTGAGTATTACAATTAATAAATGTCTAGGATTTTCAATAAATACATTATATTTATTATACTAATTTATCACTAATGTTATCACAATGTTATCAAAATAAAAAGATTGCTCAAAATCTTGGTGACATTTTATAGGATTTCCGATTCAAAAAGATAGAAAACCTTTATTCTAGCTTTTAACATTAGAATGATAGAAAAATAATTCAATTATTTACTCAATTATTATGCTCAGATTTTAAAATGACGAACAATAAAATGTGCTGTTCCTATCTTACACACATACATTATAAGATTACATACTTTCCATATCTTACTCATTGTAATAATATTGACATAATTTAAATAATTATAAAAATTATTGAGAATATCTTCAAGATTTTGTTGGGATCTTTAAAATATTTTTAACAAAACTTTCTGAAAAAAAGGTCTTTCAATACATCACAGTACCTTAGTATTTATATATATAATTATATATAATTACTGAACAGTCTTACTGTACTTCAAACATGTAAAAAAAATATGATCAATTTCATTATAGTGCATTTTTAAAGAAAAATTTAAAATTTACATTTTGATAAAAATAAGTTGTCCATTACAAAGAACAAACTAAAATATTATCCAATTCAAGATAATTGTGGTAAGATAATTGATAACAATCTGTGAAATATGTTACGTTTATGCATAGATGAATTAATAATATTAATATAAGCTATACCTTCTACTTCATCATCAAGAACTTGAACTCCAGGTTCTAGGTTACGATCTGCTGTTATTGGCATAAGATTTTCCAAAGTATCTGTAAAACAGTCAAACAATATTTAATAAAAGAACAAGAACATTTTTCCAACAATAATATACAAATTAATATTAAAAAAGTGATAACTTACTATACTGATCTGATAGCAATCCATATTGTTTCATCAACTGCCAATGAAACATGAGAATCTTAGCAGTGCGTTCACGATGGAATACATCAGGATTTTGATTAAGCAATTCTTGAAATGTCTCAATGGTAGGGTGTGAATTCTATAAAGAAAAAATATCTTCATTTACTGAAAATACATTTAAAATGAAATTATGTAAATACAGATTTTAAAGTAGCCAAAATGTCTTCTTCACGAATAGAAAATTCATTTTTGCCTTCAATAGTCTCCGAGTGTAAATTGTTCATTGCTGATGCAGCGTGTTGGGATATTATTGGATCAAAAAACAAGTCCTGCCACTTTAGTGAAAATTCTTTAAGTGTATACCTACATCTGAATTTCGTGTTATAATTATTATTACATTAGGGAATGCACTACCATGTAACTGCATTATACAAAACGTACCTCCTTCGATTCGAACCGTCATCCATATCCTCAGAGCTGCATGTCCTCAAGCTGATTTCCGAATATATATTTCTGTATTCCATATCTACCACGCGAACGTTAGAAAGGGACGACAGGGTCGGACACTCGAAACGACTATACCTCTCGTCGGTAGAGTTATCGGCACGTTACCTATCGTTATTCGGACAGTTACCGCGAGCAAGAGTAAACAAGAGACAATAATCGTCAACAATAGTCGTTAACAAACGCCGAGAAGTGATACCACAGAATAGATGAAATCAGAATGAACACTGATAAGAAATTACACGGGCTCTTGTGGGAATACGGTAATTTGAGCTAAATTGAACCTAGTGTGACCACCAATTCAAGGGGAAAAAAATATTGTATATAATTCTTTGTACCGTACAATAACTATCTTTGCGGTTGATTTGAATTCTAAATGTATTACCATTGATTATAGATAGTACTATCTATAATCAATGGTATTACTTACCGATAAGTTATTCTACGATATGTACATAGTAACAACAATCTTTTATACTTGATAATTTAATAAAATGATTAAATAAACCACTATCCTCAAAAAATAATACTCTATAGCAGTGGTCTTCAACCTTTTCCGACCCGCGACCCACTTTTCTTACCAAATATTTTTCGCGACCCATGTCAACTTCGTTAGCCATGAAAACCGAATAAAAAAGTTAAAATTGCTTAATGTATGCCATTGTAGAAGTGCTTTTATAACTGAATAAATTTATGTATATATTTATTTTTCTAGGTATCTATAGTCTGTTCAAAATGAGATCGGATCTCGGTGGTGACCAGTTTTTCGTTGGCGCTTGCCACCACCATAGTCATCATCACGCGACTAATGCTTTGGTCGCCTGCGCGTATGCGCGTCATGCGTCTTCAACAAGACCGGTGACCGTAACGCGTCGTACAAAATAATACGCTTCATAGCAAAACAATGTATTTTAAATTATTTGTACTTGTCGGCAATCGATACTAGAATAATGCGGCGCTCTCGTCGGCGGCGACGCATCAGATCGAGCCGCAGAACTAAGCCTCACCCATGCGCACAACTCGGCCGCCGAGGTTAACTACCTTTTTACGATTTACCTTTTTTTAAATACGCTCCGTTTATATCAACCGACGTAAACGAAGTTTTTCGAGGTGTAAGAACATATTGTCTCTAATTGAAGAGCATTCGAATTCTAAAATTTAAAACAAACACTTTAGTCCAATGCAATGATGTTTGAAATATAAAATATTTAATATTTTTAGTATACTCATAGATTATTAATTATTATTATAAAATGTAAGAAATATTTTTTTGGTAGAATTAAAACAAAATGTCTATAAATTGTAACGAAACGTTATTATTTTTTAGTTTAATTTTAAATATTTTAAGTGCAATATCAGTATTTTTTAATGCTATACTGCAATCAATATTACTAGTTTTTTACTACTACAATATCCATGCCCTAGTTATAAAACTCAACCCATAGTTTATTTCGATTAAACTTGGGTAAACCAAAATCATTCAAGTGTTCAAATTTGGCAAAACGCTCAAAATAATAAAGGATTAAAGCTACCGACTGGGAAAGGATGTCGATTGCTTATTTGTCATGCTGGTTCAAGTAAATTTGGTTTTGTAAATTAATCTAAATTAGTATTACGCTGTAAATCAGTCCTACACACTCAGATTACCACATACAAATGAACGCCACTTTATTTAAGAAATGGTTTATTGATATGTTAAACAATTTGGAGAGACCTTGCATTATTGTAATGAATAACGCATCTTACCATTCTTTACTTTCTGTCAATTATCCAAAATCAAATTCTATTAAACCGAGTGTTCAACAATGGCTCAGATAAAATATAATATATTTTTCTCCATTAGAAACGCTTAGTGAATTACGCGAACGTGTAAAGTCATTAATAATTGAGAAAAAAAATTACGATATCGACAAAATTGCACTCCAAATGGGCCATGAAGTTGTACGTTTGACACCATACCACTGCCAAAACAACTCTATTGAATTATAATGGGCCACATTTTAAAGGAGAATTCGCTAAAAATAATAGCACTTTTAAATTTAATGATGTCGAAAAACTGTTAAATGATCCTTTGGGCTCAGTAGCTGTTAACAATTGGGAAAAATGTACCGATCACTGTCATAACCTGCAAGAAGAGGATTTCATAAAAGAAGATTAGAGAGACAAAATTTTGCAAAAATACTGACAATCAATCCTGATGACAGTAGTGATAGCGAGAGCGATAGTGAAGAATCTTAATTGTATATAATATTTTTTTAATTCAAAATGATTGAAATTATTTTGATTTGTTTATAAAATAAATACTTATGTTTACATTTATAATGTTTTATCTACTTAATAGTATTTTTAAAAACTCTATAAAAAAAAAAAATATTCATAATTTGTTGTTTACTTACAGTACAAATTGGAGTACCAGGTAATGATTGAATACAAGAAAAATTAAAGAACTCTCAGAAACATTATCACGAAAATGTAATTGAAAAAAAAATGTCTTAAGTACTTTAAAATTTATTTATGTAAAAACTAAATATATTTTACATAAGTTATATTATAATAATGAATGTACATATATATATATATATATATATATATATAAATATATATATATATATATGTTTAATGTATATATTAGGGTTGCCATTCGTTCCGGAAAACCGGGATTGTCACCGGTTTTGAAGTTCGTGTCCCGATGTCCTGAAAAATGATTTCGGAACGTCAATATGTCCCGGGTTAGACGTTTAGAGGAAATTTAGTATTGTTTAATTTTTAATTTCGACCATTTTATCTCAAAATACATTAATTCAACGCCGACTGCGTATTCCAAAATCATCCACTGGTCCGAAAAATTTACCGGTCCGGTCTATGTGTGAAAGCACTTACTTAATCATATAATATATATATATATATTAAAAATGTTGCATCATAGGTCAAACATATTATTACGCTCCTACCCCCACTAAAAAATAGATCCACATTTTTAATTATAATTCTAGTAATTATCAGTTATCGTTGACTGAAATGCTCGACTTGGAAAAATTAAAGAAGGGGTACTCTATTTACTTTAAAAAAAAGAGCGTCCCCAAAACTTGTTAAGCGTTATAATTATAACATAATAATAGTAGGGGGACGCTAAAATTTCTGAAAATTAGTTGGGGTATTCCGTCCCCTTGCGTCCCCCCCTCAAGTCGAGCACTGGTTGATTGACAAAACATGACGCCATCAAACTATGGCCTTATCATGGTATAAATTCTTTCCAAAAAAAATAAATAAATATTTATTGATACAATATTACACCGGACTACAAACTACAGCGGTGCCCGGCCACCCCCCTAAATACGGTCCTATCTGTATGTTGTGAAAAAAAAAGAATAAAATAACATAATTTGACTTAATTTAAAAAGACTTATTTAAATACAATATAGATAGTATTGGTATTTAATATTAAGATTACTTTTGCGTTGGATTCCAAAATGTTGAATAATATTTAAGTAATAGTTTAATAATTGAGGCACTGTGTTTTGAAATGGACTTCATCATTAAATTTTTTTGTATGTCTAATTAAAAAACCAAGATTTTCATTAAGATATAGAACCGATTTTTTTTCTTTATGAGATGAAAACATTAGATTCTATTGTAATACCACTCTAAGACCTATACCATTGTTGACTTCTTTGAGTTTATCTCCAAGAATAAAGTACTCAAAGTCTAGTTTAATTTGGGAGCAGTAAAACAACAGTTTGACACATTTCAATGTCGTTCATTTTAAGAAATTTCTATTGCACCAAATACTGTGACTGATAAGATTATTCTGTATTTTAATATAGTTATCAATTGAATATAAATAAGTATGAATTTAAGATCATCAGTAAATAATTGATATTTACAGAAACTGAAGCAAAACGAAAATAGCAAATGATAAGAGTGAAACGTCACTCAAAACATACACTTAATTTTTGAGGCTGGACGTTTTCGCCAGCTCACTGACCTCGTATTAAAACTTGTTTTCGATTCACCACGTAATTACCTACGTTTTAGTTTTTTGAATGAGTTGTCCTCGACTTTCTAAGTATATTTAGATAATAACCAATGTCGTCGGCATCGCACTATAAAATATCGCACGAACCTATTTTTGGGGCTACGATATGCAACTTAACATACAATTTGATGATCGACAATAATGTAACAAAACCACTGGGCTTCCTTATCAAATATTGCTAGCAAAACATTCATTTGCTCGAATTCAATATTCGAGTGATAACAGATAAGACGAATATTCTAATTTATGTTGAAAACGGCTTCAAAGTGACTCGACCCGATAAAATCGTGTACAAAAATATTGAAATATTTTAACGTTTTAATTTTGTTCTATGGATTTGTAATATAATTAAGATTTAATATTGGTTATCTTTCTAATATTAACAAAGACGGACATGTTTAACTTTTATAGGCAAATTTTCGTTCTCGGTATACTGTCATTATTACATGCAGCTTATTCAGCGGCTCAACGTAAGTTTACTTTTAATGTTCTTTTCAATCGTGTCTGAATGTTTGATAGAAACGTTTATATTTTACAATTATAATATAAACGAATAAGCTATCATCATACATTTATTAAACATATTCTAATCCAAGTATGTTCGTTACATTTGTATACTGTGTCAGTATGAAAATGTATATATTATATTACTGCAGATAAATATTTTTTTTGTGATTGGTATTTTAATTTCTTAAAGCTTTGAAATTGAAACAAATATTTAAAAAAAAAAATTTTCCCCAAGTTATAATATATATTTTATCAAATTATGAGCATTATTACAATTATAATGTATTTCTATGTTCATTAGAATATATTTAATTGCAACTTATAAAAATTATGTCAAGTATATATTTTATTTAACTATTTTTTAATCAAAATTATTAATCAATGTATAAAAATTAAAATAATCACAGTAAAAGTAAAATAAAATTTAATCAGTTTTTTAAGTTAAATTATTACTGATAACTATCAAGATTTCAATTATTCACAAAGTGAATTGCATAATTATAACTCTAGATTTTACCATTAAAAAATGTTTGTCTATCTATCAAGTTGACTGGTATCAGCATTATATTTAACTCTCACTAATCAAACACGAGAACTTCAATAATTTTATATAATTCTTATCATTTTTGCTTTGAGAACTGCATTTAACTATAACTGAATTTGAATTTTATACTAAGAGAGTTAATTTTAATTTCAATTTATTTATTGGTTTTTAATATATAAGAGTTGATTTTAACTCTCATTTTATTAGATATTATGTAGTCTCAACTCAGCCTAGTCTTTCACGTTTTTGTTACCAGATATTTATTTCACATATTATACGATACTTTTTTCTTTCTCTTTGCTACTATTCAACTATTTTTGTTATATTTAGTTTTACCAGCAAATTATTGTACTTAAATTAATGCCTGTCATGGTGTGATAAAATAAAATAAGTAAATAAGTATTTGAATTAAAGATAAAAAACAGACAAATATATGAGTATTAAATTTAATTCTCAAAGCGTCTGGAACAATTTCATTCTAAATGGCTTGCCAGTCAACTTGTTAAACATATTATCCACAAATATTCAACATAGAATTACTAATAATAAGTAAGGCATTTTTTAAAATAAACCAACTATTGATGATTCTTAAGATAATATTAATATTTTAAAGATAGTATTTCTGTTTGCACAATAATTATACACAGCTATAGTATTGTATATTTTTTATTAGATTATTAAATAATAGAGAAAATCCATGTCATCAGTTATTTGCTGAATTTTTAGGATCCATCTTCAGTTTGATTCTTAGTTTATCTATTGTGAATTTATTTATTTTATATTCTCTAAATAATATTTAATAGTGATAAAAAATAGATGTAAAATTAAGATTTTATTATCTTTAAACTTATTTAAGATTAAAAAAAAAACTTAATTAATCTCCATGATAGTCATTATGTGTACATTTTTTTTCTGTTAAAACTTGTTTTTTAAACTTATTATATTCTTATAAAAGATAAACAGTTTTACTTTTAGACTTGTTCAATGGTTAATTTGTTAAATGTTAATTTAATATATAAATTATTTTTTTTTTTAATTAAATATGCTTGGTACCTTACCTAGAAATACATTGCTTTTCTTATAAATTTAGATAAAATTTTGCATAACGATTGAACTTTTCTGATTCATTGCTTTTGTGTTTTATAACGTTGATCTGGTTTGATTTTTATGATATATGAATAATAGAACCATGATTAGAATACTCTTGAAATATAACAAATAATATTACACAATATAACAATATTGTCTAATTTATTTTAAATAGCTAATATATTTCTTATTAATTTACAGATCGATCTTATTTACGAATAACTGAACAAGAATTTGATGGATTACCATTTGATGTGAGTTATTATTATAAACTCATAATTTTTATTAAATTATTATATTTTGACACATTGGTCATTCATTACTTATGAACTTTTGTTTTTTCTAAATTGTTTGATTTCAGATATTTGTGCAAGGTGTTGTCAGCCTTTTTATGTCAATGTATGGAATATTGTACTTAGCAGGAGAGTTCAAAGAAGTGAGAGCAATTGAAGAACTAGAATGTAAGACATGGGAGACATTACACAATACACCTTCATTTTATATATTTAATCATAGAGGTAAAGCTCTATCATCTAATAAGTCTTAAATAAGTCCAGACACTTGATGACACTTTTTATAAAAAGTTAACTGAACACGAAACTATGAATTAGCATAATTGTTTGATAAATTAGTGTTGGTGTGATGTTTGTGTTTGTTTTTATTTATATATTTGTTTAATGTACAAAATTTTCATTCTAAATTATTTTAATATATATATATATATATATATATATATATATATACTATTTATTACATCAGAAATAATTATACACAAGTAAATTAATTTGCGAATGAGTAAAATATAAGTATAATTTTCAAATAGTATTACTTGTTATCTACGTAATATTTTAAAACAAATACTTCTTATTGTGCAAATAATAAAACAAGTATTTTTTTTTCACTTTTCATAATAGTTTCTTATAAAATTTTATGTTTATAAATAATATGTAGAATTAATTTAATGTGAAATATATTTGATTAATCAATGAATAGAAATATTTTGTAAAATAAATACAAATGAATTATATTTTACTGATTACTATTTTATTTTAAATACTTAAAACTTAAATTGTTTTCAGTCTTTCATAAATCACAAAAAATATTATGTTCCATGGTCCCATTCGAACAAATGTAGGAACGAATCCTTTGTAGAGTGCCGAAATTCCTTCATACTTCACGGTCTAACACATATAACAAATAACAGTGTTTATTAATAGGTATATTTATAAATGTTTAAAAGTCAGAATACATACTTTTAAGAAACAATCAATACTTCCTTTATAGTTATGTTGCTGAACGCCAGCAGTATTTTTATTATGTTTTTGGTTCATCAATCTAGTCTGAAATATGGACACAGTATTCAAAAAACAAATGATATTATGTTATTGAAAATCATTTTAAAATAATTCAAGAACTATACAATCTTTTCTAATAATTGTACAGAAAAATATTTAAAAGTTTATTTTACTTCTAGATTTTGTTTAACGTTTTTAGAAGTAAACTTTTATGTTCATCAAAATTGTACCATCTGAATATCTGATAAAATCAAATAATTCAAATATTTTTTACTGATCATAAATTATTTAAAAATAAACATTAACAAACTCTAAAATATAAAATTTGGAAAGTAAATATGATATTTTTCATGTGATTTTCTTATAATACATAATAACAACCAAAAAATAAAAAAAATACTGGGAAGTAACAAAAATGATTTATAAATGTTACAAAATGATATTTAGATGAAGTTAATTATTTAGTTAAAAGTATTTATTATTTTCAAATTATTTCAATGAAGTTTTTTCTATTTATAGGTATTTGAAATTTTCAATTATCACAAATTATAGATATATTTTTATTTTATTTTGTTAAATTTACAACATTTAAAATTTATCTATCTCATTAAGAAATTGTGTTAAATTATATAAGTCATTTTTATAAATATAAACTGATCCACCAAACCAAGGACTCTAATTCTTTTTTTGAGTTTATAAAATCAACAAGTATTTAGTACAATCATAAAGGAAAGGAAGGAATGTATCAGTAGATATGGCATTGAACAGAGAAAAGTGGAGATGATTACTTGTGGCAGCTTAAGTCCTACAAGGACAGTTAAGCTAAGAAAGAAAAAGAAGAGTTAAGTACAATCATAGATGCTCACAAAAATATTTTTAAAAAAGAATGAGTTCAAATCTAAAAAATGATTATGATCTATGACAGTGATAATAATTACATTTTTTATACAATAGCGAATCTTATTTTTTTAATAAAAACTTTATTAATTATGCAATAAACTGTAATATTTTCTTTTTATAATTTATTTTAACCAATTTTTCTATTTTATATAAAATCAGTATTTTTTTCTTCTTTTAAATCTTTATTCTAGTAGATATTTTATCTTAATATAATTAACGTAATTATATTTATATAATTATTTACTATTTATTTATACATTACTATTTGTTTTATAATTTTGTAACAATCCTATGTATATAAATAATGAATATATATATACTGTGTCTTTTGGTAACCCGCATAGTGGACAGTTCACTTAATAAAGTTGTTTTATATATATATTAGGGTACTTGTTATTTTCGAAAACTTAAAATTCGAGAAGAACCGCCCGGAATATTTTTCTATGGGTCTAAAAATAAGATCTACAAAATTTGAGCTTTATATTATATGATTAACAGGACACGCTCTAAGCTCAAAATTTAGAGAAAATGTGACATAGAGATAATTTAAAAAACATAAAAACGAGCATTTTTCATAAAATGTTACTTTCATATGGTCTTTTTAGTTTTTACAAAAAAATATTAACTGTACGAAAAATATATAAGAACCCCTTATTTTAGTAAATAACAAATTCTAAAAAAAAGTTTCTTGTAACTTTTTAGAAAAAACCAAAACTTGTGCGATACTATCTAAAAAATTAGGCATTTTTACATTTTTTCTAATCTTAGAGATTAGAACTCGCCCTGTTGATCATCTTATATAAAGCTCAAATTTTGTAGATCCTATTTTTACACCCATAAAAAAATATTTCCAGGCGGCACTCCTCAAATTTTGAAGAAAAAAAAATCGTTCATATATAAATAACAGGCACCCTAATATATATATATATATACACATACATAATTATAATAAATAATTTCTATTTGACTTTTATTAATGACATTAGTCAAATACTATAGATTATAGGAAAAATAATTCTTATAAATAGTAGTATAATATACATTTTCATTTTTAAAATCATTAATACAAAAGAATAACTTATGTTTTAATTAATAATTGTGAATAATATACCCTTATAACATCAATCGGATTTGAAGCTACAGCACTTCCAAAACTTGCAATGAGACTTGAACTAAAAAAATAAAAATTATTCAAATTATTATTTTGATGTTATTGTACACAAATTTTTTATTAAACTCAATAAATTCATATTGTGTTGGTAACCTAATTTATTATTTTCACATTGAATGTTGATATTTTATTGAAAAGATAATATAAAAATTTACATTTAGTTTAAACTAAATATTATAATTTTATTTAAAATGCACCAAAAAAAGAGCTTTAAAAATGAAATACTATTTACACAATATAAAACTAGATGACTGATTAATAGTCACAAAACAACTACTAAATATTAGTTGTGAGTAACAATGAAAAAAATAAAAATAACTGTTTATTGAACTTCATACATTTTTATTTTTATTATTATTATTATTATAAGTATTGTATATAGATGATTTGATTCATTAAAAGTTTTTAAAATTGTGAGTATCTTTTATTTAACTAATGTCAACATGGAACTTAAAAGATATTAATATTTTAATGCATTAAATATAACTTACATCAAGTGATTGAAAATATGATTTCCAAAAATAGCCATTAACTTGTGTTTACAATAATCATAAACAGGCAATTCAACAGCTGCAATTGTAGCAGCACGTTGTGATGTTGGACCAACACCCTTCAATAACAAAATCCAAGAATATTTTAATTATAAATACACGACGAATAAATATCTTAAAATTAAAAATATACCTACAATACAGAAAAGATAAAAATGTAAGAAAACCTAAATATCGATGATAATTCAAATATGATTAACATAGTTTAATTATTAAATATATTTAATTTTACTAGTATTGTTACTATACAATATGTAATATCTACTAAAACTTGAGTTTTTACACTTTCTAGTCACCTGTATATAAAATATTTCACTGTTAAATTAAATACTAACCTTCCATAAACCTCGGAGTCCTTCGTGTACATAAATGTAATGAAAGCATTTAAAAACATTGCAATTCACAAGGTTTTCAATTTTATTTCGGCCTAAAGCTTGAAGTCGAACTTTAAGTACATCTGTAGGATTAGCTATAGATGCCGATATAATACCAGCACATACAGCACATCCAAAATTCACAGTAACATCTTCAGTTACTTCTAAATACTCATTAGTTGTTTTCTTCAATGTGTAGTAAGTTCCAAACTTAATAGAACCATATGTACATTGACGTATTAATGCAGGACTAATTCTAGAAGCATCATAAGATATATTGGAATTATAATCAAAAATGTACAAATTAAATAAATGTATACCCAGAATAGAGTGACAAAAATCCTTCTTGCTTATAAATTTGACAAAAAGCATCTACCATGCCACGGTATTTAATTTTATTATATTGTCCATCCAATTTTTGTCCCTGAACTTGGAGTCTGGTTTTAGTAGTATCAATAGGAAACGTACCTTAAAAATAATTGATCAATAAAATATACTTATTCAAATAAAATATTGATATTAAATTACTTCCGCAGTAAGAAATAAAATATAAATAATGCCGCCAACAAGCAAATTTAAAAGAGTTTATTTACTATAAATAACATCAATAATTAACTATAGGAAACATTGAATCTATTATAAATTCATATATAATGCACACACACACACACACACACATAATTATCAATGTATCAAGTAAGATAGTTTAATAAATATTTGATTAAGTAATCCTGAATATTGACAAGGACAAATTTTAACATTTAATTTTAAGAATATATGTAGAAATGTTCATAAGTCATTCAGAAGTACCATATTCTTTATGCCATTTAAACATTCTAACTTTTATTGATAAGAGAATGAGACCAATAGCTACAAAAACTAAATATTATAATAAATATCATTAAATATACATAAAAAATAAAATCAATACATTAGTATAATTAAAACTTACTTAGTTCTGCAATACAAGATGATAAACCACCATAGACAAATAGTGGCCAGTCTCTTTTTTCCATTACACTAATAATAATGTTTTAAGTTTATTTTTTTCTATAAAACTCACAACTTGAACAACCTATAATAAAAATTATATATATATAATAACAACTCAATAAGGATTTAAAAAAATAAATAAATATTTCAAAAATATTTTCATTTTATCAAAATCATAATAAAATCAAATTTGCAAGAAATTTATACACTTTTGGGCTATTAAAAATAAAAGTTAACACAATCATGTTACAATTATCTAATAATACAACTCATTGATTAAAATAAAAAAAAATATTAAGTTTATCACAAATTCAAAAAAACAAAATTAATATAATATTAGTATCCATTATTATGGTTAAAATACATGCAAAAATGGAGTACCATGATAAATATTTGAATTTAAGAAAAAAAAGGTTTAGAATATTTTACTTAGCCAAAATATCAATGGCTCTATTGGGCAATTATGTATCATAAAGTTAAAGCCATTCTTAAAAATTAATAAAATTATAAACTTCTAATTGTTCTTTAAAATAATTTTTGTTGCTACTCAAGCTTACTTAGAGAGTAAAATAAAAATTGTAACTTACTAAAAGTAAATTACTATAACAATGCCACAATGGCAATTAATAAAATATATATCAATTAGAGTATATGTTCTTATAGTAATACATGGATTCCGAATAATACTAATAAAAAGTATTAATAAACATAGTAAAAAAATGATTAAACAATTAATGTACAAATGATAATAGTTAAGAAACGCATTTACGATTAAATTTTAATTTTAATTTACAATTAATTCTGATAAATTACCTTGAACATAATCTTTATTGATATATTAACCAATTTTAATGAATTTGACAACTTGAAATATAAAATATAATTGAAATAGTGCCTACAGTTTCAAATTATTTTATTCGCAATCATTTTTAATTTTTAATTTAGTGATAATATACAATATTAATAAATAAATGCAAAAAATCACTTTACCTACAATAACCAAGAAACTGATCAACATTAAAACTTCTATAAAAAAAATACACGCTATATGGCAAAGTTATTGGAACTCTATTCCACCCACCGATAAACTTAAAATTTTTAAGAAAAACACAAAATAAATGGTACATACCCCAACATTTCAATAGTTGACAAGAAGTTTTCAGAACAAAAATCAAAATTGGACACTCCTCAACTCAACTTCATACCTCATAAGTAAAAATCCATCTCCAACATGCAACAAATGCCAAGAAATCCTAACCATTTGTCATTTCATCCAAGACTTAGTAAAGAACCAAAATACAAGACTTGAATTTTTCATACTTCAAAACATAGAAGAAACTCTCAGCGAAAACAACAGCAAACAAATCTTAAACTTCCTCACAAAAATTAATTTAATTTATATAAATTAATATTGTAAAAATGTAAATTTAAACTAAAAATTGAAGTTGTATACCTTCTATTACTTTGTTTTATGCAAATAAGCTAATAACCATAGACGTTGAAGTCTTAATTAATAAATGAAAAATAAAAAAGTACTGCAATAGCATCTACAGTTTAAAATTATTTTATATTCACAATAATCATTAATTTTATATGGATATTATACAACATAAATAAATTAATGGAAAAAATCAATATTATGATTGAGTACCTTTTTCATAAGACGCGTTCCAATATTTTAAACAAATGTCATAAAACTTATTAAGTATAAAAAAACATGTACATACTTATATATTTGGTTTGTTTTCTTAACCTAAGTCAACTATTTTACTAGTTATCACGAATCACGATTGCTCATGCTAGTAATCACAAAAATTTATTTTATATGGTCAGTGTCGAAGATAACGCTTAAACTGATAACAGGATCAACAATTCATTGACCGTATGATTCACAAATTCGAAACTATATAAGATTAATATATTCAAGCGTACAACCAATGAAAAATAATAATTGGTTTACTCTACTATAATACCAGGGCGGATTTATGGCTTCTTTTATAATTATTTATTTTTTTATAACAAATTTATTAAATATTTTTATATAGCTATATTTAATTTGTAGATTAAAAACATGGTTTTTCAGACCTGAGTTTTTTTTTTTCATCAACTGTATAAATAGGTTAAAAAAATAATGTTCACCAATTTTTAGGGGGTTTTAATTATTTTTTACCAAGAAAACAAGTAGGGTCACATAAATGACCCATCGGCTTATACGGAATAAAATTTCGTATACAAATGTTGTAAACAGTAGCGTATTTGAGGGGGGGGGCGATAGAGGCAATCGCTCCTCCCGAGAATTTTTAGACCAAGACAATTTTTATATAAGTAATAGGTATTTTATTAAGAAACAAAAATTATAATTTATTTTATAGCATTATTACATTTGAAAACGTTTCAAATTTTACACTAATTTAAATAACGCAAAACGCTAAATTTTTCATGTTTAATTGTCAATAACGGCAAACGGAAAATTTTTTAAACGTTTAAATTTGTATAACGTTTAAACGCTTAAATTGAATAACATTTAAATTATTAATATCGTCAAACACTCAATTGCTTATAACGTTTATATGTCCCATAATGATAAATAATATATATTATTTTGATTGAAGATCCAGTTCATATTTAGAGAAAAATTAGATAAAACACATGCGAAACTTTCAAAACACAGAGAGATGTTAAAAAAAAATTACACAAAAGACCATTCTAAGTGGATCCGGCATTATATTAAAAAAAAAAAACCACAAATATTAAGGATTCACCTGATATAAATATTACCAACAATTTTACTTGTAAATTTTGAGCCTAAATTAAAGAAAAAATTTGAGTCCCCCCCCCTAGAAGTAAGTCTAAATACCCCCCTGGTTTTAGGTATATTATTTTTATTTCATTATATTTATTGAAAAATCGATTATTCTTTTTCGATTACTGCAACTTAAAATACTTAATTCTAATAAAATAAATAAAAACTTTTTAAATTATTAACAGTAAAAACCAATTTTTAAAACCTTAATATAAAAATAATAAAATTTTGAATTTTGAACCGTATATAACGTGGTATTAAATGTTATATTATCAAAAAAATCATCTTGAAAATACTGATTAAAATAATCTATTGAAGTCATAGATGTAGGGTGAACTTCATTTTCTAATTTATCTAATTTTAATGTTAAACTTTGGAAAGGTTCATTTAACCATTTTATATTTTGCTTATTAGTAATTGGAAAGTTATTTTCCAGTGTATATTAATTAAAAGTAGTATTATTACTATCAGAGACGCTTGGCAAGTCACAGAAAACATCCTCATTTTCAAATTCATTTAATAAATCCTGAAATTCATCATCGGGAAAAAATTCATCCCCATCATCTATACTCCCAATATCAGAATTATAACCGTCTGATAATAATTCTAAAATATTACATTCTAGTAGTTTAAGAGACATTTTTTTTTTAATATTAATTATTCATAAAATACAATATAAAAAATTACACTAATTAGTTTACGTACGGTACCGCAGAGTATAGAAATGCGTTAGGATAACAGCACAATCCGTTTGATAAATTAAATAAATATCAGTGAAAACAAACGCAACATGTCACACAGACCGGTGGGTCACAAATGTGACCCAAAATTCAAACAATCATATAATTTGATATAATGGAAATGTAAGAGTAAAAACGATATTATTAGATTACGTAACTAATATTCTTCTAAGTACAACTCGCTCTTATTATTTTCGTATTTATAAATCAAAAATGAAAATAAAACATGAACAATTATTTTTACATTATTTTTTCTTATAAATATACGGAAATACACTAAAATAAAGTCAATAAGATGATAATAATTAGATAAGTGAATTTTACAGAATTTTATACATCGTTATGTATACAGAGCGTTTGCTGTACACTAACAATTTATTTTTAATTGAAGAATGAAACATTGGGTCACAAAAGTGACCCTGGGGTCTGAAAGGGTTAAGATCACGAATGAACAAAAGTAGACCAACTGAATTGACTTTACTCCACACATGTAATAATATTATTGTAAATATGGAAAAAGGCATTAATAGGTTTGCAAATTAAAAAAAAATAAAAATGTTAAATTATTATTGTATTTAATATTTTTGAACAATGCATTTTTATACTTAAAATTAAATATAGCTACTTACAATTAATTATACACTTTGTACTTCTTTTTCCATATATTACAGTCACGTCTTCATGGTGTAATAAGCGGACGTGCGACTTAATTAATCTAGCGATAAATGTATAACTAGCGTTGGTATTTTGTCACATAATCGCTTCCACGATAACATCTCATTCGACGCAATAAACGTAGTCGATGAGCAAATGCAGACGAGGCAGTACAAATCTGACAGCAATAGCTGAGTCACGCTCGTGATACTACTTAATTACTTTAATAAATCAATTTAAATATGCAGTGTTATGTTTAATATATTTCGTTACATTTATTATTTTTATTATATTTTAATAAACATACCAATATTTATAAAGAGTTAGGTTTATCATTCTACCAAAGAATAATCATATTACTACGCTTTTACAAATGTACACCCAGGGGCGAATTTAGAAATAACTAATAGAGGTGAATCAAAAATACACTAAATACGTAATCCTACAAATACCCTTAAAATATAAATTAGTGGTATTAAATATCAATTGTATCATCTCATGATATACCATCGTGTGCCTCTGCGTGAATAGTGAGAGATCCTAAAAAAGTTAATAGGTACCTACTCTCTAATAACAAAAAAAGTATTAAATATATGAGGCATGGGCCCATGGACTCCCCCTTAAATACGTCCCTGCGTACACCCTTAAACTGTTATGGGTAACAACAAACCATAAGCATCAAATTATATAGAATGTTTTTAACATAAAAGTCGAAATTAAAGTTAATAAATCCCAGCATATTTTCTCCACAAGAATTTTACTAATTATCATTTCATTAATTTCCTTCTTTAATCAGGCTGCTTTGAAAATTGAATTATTTTTGTTGTATTGGTTTTGTTTTTTTTTTGTAAAATAACTAACATCCTTCTTGTTATATTTTAATATTGTTATTCATTGTACTCAACTATTTTTAATCGTCGAAACTAATTGTCACACAAAGTTTCTAATAAAAAATAAAAAAAAAGTTAATAAATAATAAGTGGGCAATAGGGGCAGTTGCCCAGGGCCCCGTGCTTTAAACTATAATTAAAGCCCTGCGATTCTAATTTGACTGAACTTAAAATATTTTATTAATATAAATTATAAGACCCAACATTAATTTTGCCCAAGGCCTTGCAAACTCTAGCACCGTCACTGTGTATGCACGCATAATTGTCATATTATTTTAATTACTAAGTATTCATTAATGAGTAATAGCAACTATTTATACGGAGCTCCACATGTGCGAACAAATTAATTTACTATAAAAAAATATATAGTTGTAATGAATCAAAAATAGCGGGATCAATAGTTATGAATGAAGCATTACATTAATAATAATATATTAACTAAAATGTTATAGTGAAGTGCATTTAATTTATGGTAGTTGATGGGGTCAAGCTCATATTAACTTTTCAATAAAATAAAATATACAACAATTAATAAGGTAAATAAATATTAAAATAAAATATAAATATTACATTGAGTATTATAAAATTAAGTGCAAAAGAATACAACCGATTTAGAAATGAAAAATTATTGTCAGGTATGAAAAGCGCATTGAATATAAAATAAAATAAACTGAAAGAATACAATTGAAAATTATTTTTACATAGAGATAACATATTTTTCTAGTTTAATAATAATAAAAGTTTAAGTAAAAGTATTTTCAATGAATGATATTAAACTACTTCCTCCTTTATTATGACAAATATAATAATATATAACAATAAGTAGGTAGGTGGTTAGAGGCTTATCAAGGGCTGGCTCAAGCAAGAATAGTGCAAAATCAAATTTTGTTACCTCTAAAAAAAAAAATTGAGCTTTTATTTTAACATAGAACCTACCTCTATTTTTATGTGACATACCTCATGAAAAATATTTTATTTTTTTTATTAGAAATAACGAATAATGTTGGGACTAACGGTATATTTTTATATATTATTTATTTTAATGCCAAATTTGTATTGTTATATAATTTATTGTAAATTCATTGTATTTAGCATGTATTTAGATTTTATGAATTCATATGATCAAATATTTATTGCTTTTTAAATATTTTTTACTTTTAACCTAACAAATAACTAAACCTTTGTCATAATCTTAAAAAAGTTAAACATATTATTACTATAATAATATTGGTAAAATGAAATAAAGCAATCTTAATTTTATTTAAAATTGATTTTGAATTCGTAAAATGGCCG